TCATAACAACACACGTGCGTGGCGTGACGGCCTTAAGTTCAAAACTCAAAGAAAAATCGGAAGAATCGATTCGAGAGAAGATTCTCTCGGGAAAAATTCTGCGACCAATCCCGCTCGAACACACAACTCGAACATTCTCCAAAATACATTCGATACTGTGAGTATCGGCCTTTATACTGCGGAACTCAACTCACGTGAACAACAGGTAATGTACTGTGCTTCGGCGTGGTGGTTTCGCCCACTATCGGAGCAATCAAAGTATTTCCAACAACAAAAAGTACCTGCGGTTGTACCAGAATATCAACGGATATGTTCGATGTGTAATGTTCCATTTGAATCTCTCTCTCCGAAGCCATTGTTTATCTACAAGTGTTAATTACATGTAACTTTATGTGCATAACACACACACACGCACACAGAGTTAATACATCGAATAATATTCAAATATACGTACAGATTTTTCTGGAAGTTTCCCGAAGATCTAACACTTTGTTTTTATACGTGTTATACGATTTTATTTTATTTAACTTTTTTTTTGTATATCGAGCGGGCAACGAGATGTCGCACAATGTTCGAAGAGACCTCCTCCTGTGTGTTTCAAAGTGTCTAAAATATTTCTGTTCGAAATGATAAATATATTTACATCTCGCGCGAGAGAGAAGGGAAGAGAGACGAAGGTTAAAAACGTGGCTCGCGCTTATCGGGCGAAAATCACGTGGGGAAAAAAAAAGAAATATCCTGTGCTCTCGTTACCTTTAGTTTCTCCGAGATAATTTTTTTTTATATAATGCAGATTCTTTTTTTTTTTTTTTTGCAATTTAAGTCTTTGGTGCGTCGCTTGTTTAAGCAACGCACGATTCACTTATCCAAAGATAAATTTGTGTGAAAATAGGTTTTCTTGAAATTAATTTCATTTGAGATAAAAAAAAAAGTGCAACAAGGGAAACGTGACACGTACCTGTGATTACAAAATGCTGGCAAAATTTCCTTATCTCTACGTTATTGTTAACATTTGGTATGCCGATGTTATAATAATGTATACATATATATATATATATGTATATCATATATAGACTAGACTGTACACACAAGTGACGACAAACTAAGCCGACGAGCGGATGAGTCGTCAATTTTGAGTTATCGGTTGAAACAAGACCGCAACGTGCGCGTGCGCGTGCGCGAAATTTTTGTGTTTTAGAGTTTTTTTCGAACACACGTACGAACATGTTGTTTTTCTGTAACTAACCACGGTATTTGCGCAGGAAATAACCCATGAAACGCGAAGAACCCGTGAAGTTTTGAGCCAAAAATCAATAAAATATCAATTCAAACCCTCGAGTGGTTCGCAATTTGCGGTCGTGTATGTTGAAGACGATTTTTGATGTGATTATTTATGTGACGAGTTAAAAAATTTAGAGAGAGAGAGAGAGAGAGAGAGGAGAGAGTATACGATATATTAAATGTATAATACTACATATAAATATATAACACTACGATATATAATGCTACATAAATAAATAATAAATTTAACCCTCTGTGGGCCGAATTTGTTTGTTAAATATAAAAAAATTCTAAGACGTATACATCATGTTGTGAAAAAAACAAACTATTTGGTAAAATGTGGATTAAAAATCGAGTTAAAAAATTTAGAGAGAGAGAGAGAGAGAGAGAGAGGAGAGGAGAGGAGAGGAGAGAATATACGATATATTAAATGTATAANACTACGATATATAATGCTACATAAATAAATAATAAATTTAACCCTGTGGGCCGAATTTGTTTGTTAAATATAAAAAAATTTTAAGACGTATAACATCATCTTGTGAAAAAAACTAAAACTATTTGGTAAAATGTGGATTAAAAATCGAGTTAAAAAATTTAGAGAGAGAGAGAGAGAGAGAGAGGAGAGAGGGGAGAGTATACGATATATTAAATGTATAACACTACGATATATAATGCTACATAAATAAATAATAAATTTAACCCTGTGGGCCGAATTTGTTTGTTAAATATAAAAAAATTTTAAGACGTATAACATCATCTTGTGAAAAAAACTAAAACTATTTGGTAAAATGTGGATTAAAAATCGAGTTAAAAAATTTAGAGAGAGAGAGAGAGAGAGAGAGGAGAGAGGGGAGAGTATACGATATATTAAATATATAACACTACGATATATAATGCTACATAAATAAATAATAAATTTAACCCTCTGTGGGCCGAATTTGTTTCTGAAATATAAAAAAATTTCAAGACGTATACATCATCTTGTGAAAAAAAAACTAAAACTTTTTGGTAAAACGTGGATATATATTAGCTTGTGACTTGAAAGTTAGCATGGGCAACCATAGAGGGTTAACAAGTAAATAAATTAATTTTCACGAACACATTTTCTTGTGCTTTTTTTGTTTGAACAATCGACACACCCGGTGCGTCGATCAGTTCAGCTGTTTCCGATCGCGTTTATTTACGCGTCGTCCCCAACGACGAAGAGACTTGCGCAAACAAATTTTCAATCGCATGCGAGAGACACAATCTTGTTAAAAACCGGGAGCGACATGCCGGAAACGATCACTCTGTCGAAACGAAATCCGAGTTCTCGCCCGGTCGCCGTCGCCAGGGTGGATAACAACACCAGGCTGCCCCGATGCGTTCAACGTAGACTATTGTGCCCCCCGTTGTCCGTGAGATGCCATCCACGACCAACCCCCTACCGATGCGTCGTCGATCATCGCACACCCGCGAATACTACCTACAGACGACTGCCGATCGGGCTGTCGATGACAACTAATCGTTCCGTAAAATCGACGTCGAAGAACCGCGTAGATCGATGTCCGCCGGGTTTCCTGGTCTCCATAGGCACCACTCCCCGCTGCAAGAAGAGCTTGTCGATGATGGACCTGTCCGCGGCCGATCCCGAAATCGGCGACGTCAAGTGAGCCGCGATATTTCTCCGGGAAATATCGCGGGAAACCCAGAGAAATTAAACCTGAAAAGAAAATTCATTTTTAAACACGAGACAGCCACGTGAAATCTCTCGCAAACTGTTTTAAATCTCTCGCAAACGCGTGTTGTCGCAGGTCGGAGAGCAGCGGTTCGAGCGCGGGTCCTCGCCCCGAGGAGATAGCCGAGAGATCAAAGGACATCCTTTCAGCGAACGGCGGTAGCGTCGTCTACTGCGGATCGTGGACGGACACCGTGCCATCCTCGGGATCCGAGCGCAGCGTCGTTTCCGCATCATCGTCGTCGGTGGATCCGACGGTCAAGGCGGCGAGCGTGGTCTGTCACATGCTCGTGCTGAACGCCTGGCGACGCAGACGCGCCGAGATCGCGCAACTCGAGCAACAGGTTGAACATCTGCATCTTCAGATCGAGTTTCTGCGACGATTGCTGATCGCGGAGAACGAGCGAGTCGGCAGATTGAACGGCGAGCTACGCCGCGAGAAGTCGCAACTGGAGGAAGTGACGCGCGAGCGCGACGCCGTCAATTTGGTAAGTCGTGCCGGATCTCGGTTTGTTGTGACGAGCCACTCGAGGAGGTTTCCTGGACGAACGCGCAAATCGCTCGAGGAACGATTGTAATTTAACATTCAACAAATTTGTAAGAAACACGTAAACCAAAGAGCCACAACAGGTCCAAGGTGACGGTGGAAATAAATTGCAACACGGTAGTCTGTGTAGATCAAGTGGACGTTTCGATCCTTTGATCTACACAGACTACTGTTGCAATTTATTTCCACTTGGACCTATGGCTCTTTGGTTTACGTGTTTCTTATAGTTTGTCTCCCCGCTGAGCCTTTAACTTTATTATTGATTAATTCAACAAATTGTTCACGATCTCACGTCAATCAGTAGAATGCAAAGTCTTCGAACAACATTGTCCAGATATCGTGCGAGTAAAATATATATTACAAAATAAAAAACAATATATATATAGATATATATATATATAGGTATATATATAGATATTAATATCTAT